TAGGCAAGCGCTCTGCCACTGAGCCCGAGCCCCAGCCGGATACTATGGTTTTGTATGCAAGTTTTAATCACACCACCAGGTGCCACCAGGGCCTGTCCTCAGGCAAAAAGCCACACAAATGGGAAACTCTGCCAGAGCCATTCCCTCCAACTGCAGCTTCCTCCCCCAGTGCCTCCTGTCTGGTCATTCTTCACCACCTCAGGTAGTGGTCTGTTTATTTTGTTGAGAATTTATAGTTGTCATATGCAGAAGGTTTGGACGGACAGGAGCTCCTCCGTTATCACCAGAGGCAGATCCCTCTTTGCTGCCATTCAGAATATGTGCTCTGCATTTCACCCATATTCTGCCAAGGTTAGCAGGAGGATTGGAGATAGAACCGCTATTGACAGTGGCTTTCACGTCTGCAATTCGGACACTGAAATTTGCTTTGAAAACCTCACAGATTCTGCTTGTCTGGTCCTGGCTTGGCAGGAGGCATGTATCCAGGTCCCTCCCCCTTGGGGCTCCCATTAGTAGGTAGTGGTCAACTGTGTTGCAGAAATCCTGGGGAGGAAGGTCTCGGCATGGCCTCTCTGGACAACAGCTTAGTTGGCACAGGGTTCGGGTGGCCCAAACCCCAGCTCTTCTCTGCCCCTTCTAACAGGGTGGGTGGTGTCCCACCTCAGCAAGGCGCTGCTTGCACAGACCTTCCCTGTCGACAGAGACCCCCACGGCCACCTGGGGATGCTGATCAAGGCATGTGACCACCTTCTCCTAGTGTGGCCAGGAGGCTCACTGGAGGCAGGAAGAACAGGGACAAAGGAGCTGATGTTGAAACCCAGTTTTTTTGGTCGATGCCTCCATTTACTGTAGGCTGTGGATGGATTTAAAGTTTTTGAAGCCGACGGCCTTACCCTGTAGCTTGTAAGAACTCTGTATGTTTCCAGGTAGTTCTGATGAGTGGTTAGTACATATTGTGGATGATTAAAATTGACATATTTTGGTTTCAAAAAAAAAAAAAATGAAAAATTTGGAGCTGGGTGTAGGCCACAGAGCCATTACAGTGTTTAGTGACTAACCTGTGCTTTGGGGGGTGGAGGTCATTTGTAATTCTGTGATGAAGTAATACAGTGGTTAAGGACACAGGCTGGTGATCAGAGTTTATTCTGCCACTTTCCACTGGTGACCTGGAAGGTTGGTGAGTCCTCTGTATATTGGTGACAGAAATAGCACCTACCTCAAAGGACTCTTAGAGGTGTTACTAGTATCTGGTCGGTGGCTACCATTTGCCCAGGCTCTCCGCCAAATTTCTCCAGGTGTAATTCTGTCCTAGCTCCTAGGCTGCCGGCTTCTCTTTAAAAATATCTTTGGTGCTGGGGACAGAACCACTGAGCCATGCGCCCAGCCCCAAAGCTTTCTCTGGATCATGGCTGTGTCCTCCCTCCTTTCTTCAGATCTTCTTCTTGTGTGCTCACAGTTGTTTTCAGCTAAATTATTGAGTGTTGGACGGGCCAGGCTGAGGACAAAGCCCAGGGACATCTGTCCAGGTTAACATCAGGTTTTGGAGAGGTTCATTCAGCCAGTTTTTCTTTTTAACTTTATTTCATTATTTTTATTTTTTAGTTGTTGATAGAACTTTATTTATTGATATGTGGTGCTGAGAACCGAACCCAGTGCCTCACACATGCCAGGTGAGCCACTGAGCCACCACCCCAGCCCCCTCTTTCAGCCGGTTTTTAATCTACTTCATTGAAGGATCCCTTGGCCCGACGTCTTCCCTTTGTCCCAGAGGTGGAGGGCCCTCCAGGAGCTCTGTTGACTTACCCTTGCCTTCCACGAAGTCTGCTCCTTTCCTCTTCTGTGGCTGGACCAGCTTGAGCCAAGTGGCTGGGATGGCACAGCTTTTATCTTAACACAGGCCTGGAGTGCGGCTCATTGAGTCTTCTCTTCCAAGGTGTTAACCAAACAACAGAACAGAACAGAACAAACCTCTTGGAAGTTCTGAATTCTAACACAAATGACTGGCAGGGAGGTAGCTCCACAGTCCGGCGGCTCTTTCTCTTCCTCAGAAACAACATCAGGGTTTTAAGATCCGCTGAAGCAGATGAAGCCCTAAAGAGCGTTTACTGTGAAAGAAAAATTTTAAAAGTATGGAAAACTAAAAGCATTAGTTTGTTTGCCACTCTGATTCCAGGATGATACCTGGGTGTCTGCAGCCAAAATGCGAAGGGTCCATGAGGCAGGTCCCATCCCATTTGAGTCACTTCGGGAGTCAGCTGGAGGCCTTTTGCAGCCCCAGCTCTGTACCAGGCAGGTTAGGCCTCTGCTGTGAGCATTCTTCTCTGTGCTAGTTGCAAAACACACACAGCCTCATCTAGCCTGTTCCTTAAGCATGACAGGGTGAAGGCCACCAGCTAATGTTCCCCGAGGGACTGTGGCAGAGGAGGGCTGCTTGGACATCCAGGACATGGTTCCATGACAGGCTCACCCGTTACCTCTCCCGTCAGGTCCTGTGGCGGCAGGAAGCCTTGACCCTCCACCAGCCCAGGCTCGGGTCCAGGCATATGATCTGTTCAGGATTCACGATTGGAAACCTGGATTAGGACTCGAGCCAGCTCTGCCCTCAGCCCTCAGCCACGGAGAGGAACCAGCTTTCATGAATGGAAACGTTACAGGGAGCCATGGCACTTGAAGAATCAGCGTATCGATCTGCTTGAATGTGGTCACTTTAATTGTCTCTGACTCTCCGAGGACTGCGAACTGTGTGTGGAGGGCGTGAGACCCGGGACCAGAGCAGGGGCTGAGGAATGCTTCAATTAAGGCACCGTCATCCCTCTTCAGATTACGGAACGACCACACAGGGGGCTCTGTCACTAACCCAGGGCCTCAGGGGGCTGGACGACGGGCGAGTGCTGATGGGCACCTCCATCATGTGGTCCCTCCTGCCTGTCACTGGAGGTACCCTGCAGGTTCCCTAGGGCTCCGGATGCCGTTTCCATGCCTGCAACTCGCAGTTCTTAAGTTTCATCTGTTCTACTGGCTAAAACAGAATGCTTCTAGCCCCACTTTTTTCTTAATCTCAGTTTTGACAACTAATTGTTCAAGTAAAAAACCAAACCAAAACAAACAAACAAACAAAAACAGTGGAGCCACCTGAATTCCCACCTTCTGCCTCCAACTTAGCAGCAAGTCCTGTTGGTGTTTCCAGTCGCCCCAGTCCACCGCCATCTCTCCAGGACCACCCGGGTCGCGTGTCTGGGCTGCCAAGGGAGGGCCTGTTGGCAACAGAGCCCTGGGAGGGCGGCATGGGGACCACAGGGTGTCCGGGACAGACTCTGAGAAGCTGGCAGCAGGGTGCAGGGGCTGTGGAGAGGCCAGGGCCAAGGCATGTGGGTCTGGGACTCCAGGCAGGCGTGGCACAGCCACCTCAGTCCTGGTTCAGCCTGCTGACCATGAGGCCACCTGCCAGGGACACCCACAGAAGGCTCTATCACTAGCACCTTGCCAGGGCTGCTCCCCAGGTTCTGGCCAATCTTCAACCTCCTTTTCTGAAACTGGGTTCCTGTCCTCTCCCTGCCGTGGGATGGCTACCCAGGAGGGAAATCAAGGTGCATCGAGGCACCAGTGGGGGGTGAGGACTCGCTGCCTCCAATGGCAGAGGTTCATTTACTAAAGCTGGAAGGTGAGGCTCGTGCCAGCCCCAAGACTCAGGTGGGCAGAGCAAATCTCTCATTTGGAAGCTGATGGTTGTTTACTGGCGAGGCAGAGAACTGGCAGAGTCCCTAGCAGTTCCCGTCACCTTCTCCTGAGTCTCAGCGTGGGCTGCACAAACCCTTGGGCTGATCTATTTCAGGCCCCTTGGCGACGCTCTTGCCTGCAAACCAATGGCAGATTGTACAAGTTCCACTCGACAGGGAGGAAACTCACAGCCAGAACACAAACGAAAGGAACCACAGATGAGGCCTGAGTGGCACCTGAGTTCGCAATCACCCAAACATCAGAGACCCCACGGCGCATCCATGTGACCCTTAGTAAGCACTGCATGGTCACAATGGCCACGAGCTCCTTGCAGGTGGTTAGATGGAGCTGTTGCTAAGTGGTGACCTCCAAACCCTGTTATGACTCAAGACCAGCACACCGGGTGCTACACAGGGCTTGGCTCTTCCTGTGGCCATTTATACACTGGGCACTAGCTGGTCTGTGCCATCAGGAGCCCCGGGCTCCCACACTCACCTGTTTTCAGCCTTCTCTTGGCCAGTCCTGCAGTGAGGGAGTCCCGCCCAGGCTTCACTGTTACACAAGGCCCAGGTCACAGCAGAGAACTGTGGCACCCACTCCTGAGCTCAATGTGGTACCAATGTGTGATCTCGTGCATGGGGACAGCTGCCCACAGATCATTCTGCCCACAGATCAATCAAAGTGAGCCACAGCAGCCCCTGCATAACCTACGAAAGCAGGGGGACCAGGGTGTGGAGCTTGGTTCACTCAAGCATCCAGGGCCTGTCATGGCCCTGGCACTGCACGTGACCGAACGTCCTCTAATGACAGGAAAGGGCTTTGGGCTTCCAAGAGAAGATGAGGAAGAAACAAAGTGTGGCTGAAATGAGTCGAGGAGAGTGCGCAGCTCCCCTCGGGAGGTGGGGTGGGAACTGTGGAGAGCTGCAAGTAGAGGAGGCTCTGGACATTGCCAGGTGTGGAAGTGACCCCCGATCAGTCTTACCTGGCGCATCCCGTCCAGCAGACGGCGGAGGACTGAGCGCTCTCACAGGGATTTGCTGCAATGAGGCCAACTCCTGGGAGAAGCCACTGTTCCTGAAGTGCTGTCCATGCTGGGAAAGTGCCAGAATGGGCTCAGTGATGAGGCTGTCCCAACCACCAGTAGGAGCTTCTGTGGGAAGGAGGACTGCTGCCAGGGCGTCCTGAGGAGCAAACGCATGCGCACACGGAACTGCTCCCCAGGCTGCGGGGAGGGCGGGGCGGGGAGGGGGCGCTTATAAGATGGCAGTGTCCCTGCACAGCGCTGTAGGACGTGGTCGGAGGCGAGAGCTGCTGTGGAGGAGTGCCTCAGCGCCAAGACAGGACTTTCTCCCCCGCCGCCTTACAGAGGGCCAGTCCTTCACCTCTTCCTGGTAGCGCCCCCACCCCTGTCCCCCGACCGGGGGCCCCACTTCCCGTGTTCCCACAGGGGCGCTCAGCAAAGGCACGTGCTGTGACAACAGGAATGTGGGCAAACCGTGTCGCGTCTTCACCAGCTCAAATGGGAAAACCGTCATCACTGTGAGTTCGTTCCCATGTGGCCCTTTCCTTGGGGCCAGGGGAACCTCGGGACTCTTGTGGAAGGAAGGGGACGGGGTCTGTGCGGGAACCGCAGACATGCCGTGAGGACTTCTCGGACCCCCCTCACTCCCACAGCATTTCAGAAACCACCAAGAACAGAACAAGGACAGATCAGGAGAGGGAGGACGGCAGACCAGCAGAGAATGCTAAGGGACCAGCTTCGCGTACAGCCCACAGCCATCTCCATCAAAAGGCAAGACTGAGAACTAGAGGAAACTATCGTCTACCATGATTATTTAGAACAAGTATTTGCAGTTTCTCTGAATTCTTTTTTGAGGGTGCTGGGGATTGAACTTGGGGGGCACTTGACCGCGGAGCCACATCCCCATCCCTATTCTGTATTTAGAGACAGGGTCTCACTGAGCTGCTCAGGGCCTCACTGTTGCTGAGTCTGGCTTTGAACTCGGGATCCTCCTGCCTCAGCCTCTGGAGCTAGGCATGTGCCACTGCGCCTGGCCTCTGCCACAGTCTTAAGGACTTTGAAGACTAGCAAGTGGAATCCAAGTGCCAGTCCTGAGTGCCATGCAGGTATCCCTTACCCCAAACCCGCAGAGAAGCGAGGATGGCCAAAAAGTTACATTCCTTCTGTCTAGAATTTGATTTTTTTAATGACAACAAAGTTTGAAAAGTCAAAGTGACGGCCAGGATATTTCTACCCCTTATAGGCTGGTGCCTCTGAATCCTTAGAGGGCTGCCCGCCCTGTGGAGCCACATGGATCCTCGAGGGCCCAGGACGCCGCAGCTGATGAACACACAGCACGTCTATTCTTCATGTCCACGAGTGACTTGAGTGCTGTGGACAATCCCTATGACCGAACCGGAGCCCCAGGTGAGCAATTCTGGAGAAAGACAGGGTCTTCCCACTGGCGTTTTGGAAGAGGCGGAGCAGTAGGAGGTGATGGGACGCATCTGCTTGGTACCAGCCACCAAAAGTGAAGATGATGTGACAAAGGCTAGAAAGGAGTTGTTTATTAAAAACAAAACAAAACAAAACACCCCAAACCCCTCAGCAGGATTTGAAGGCAACAGAAGAACCCAGCGCCCTGACTACGGGAGTCCCACCCAGTAACTGCATGCCACGGAGACGACCGCACGCCAGTTCAGTGCACAGGGAGGACAGGCAGGCCACGGGGGGGACACTCTACGGAAGGAACTGGGGCATGTGGGCCCTTCTCCAGCCTCTGTCGTCGGGTCTTTTCAGGACAATGCCAGGCCGAGGGCCACCGAGGTAAAGGTAAGCACATGTCGCACCAGGTACCACCAGAGCGAAGACCCCGCGCAGGGCTGGCTCCTGGAGGCAAGGACGTCCTGTTCTTTCTCTGGTTCCTGGAATTTTGGGTCCGTCTCAGACGGCATTTGACATTTGTTCCCAGCACCCAGTTGTCACCACAGGTAAGTCAAGACTATAATCACAACAGCAAGGACAGGATTATGTTGCTTTTTTCCTTTTTTTTTTTTTTCTTAAGGGAGTGAGGGCATGGAAAATACAGCACACCAATGAAACAAAATGCCAAAAAAAGAAAAAAATACAAAAAAATACAAAATAGAAAAATGTATTTACAGGTAGTACATTACTATGATCAGAAAGCACAAAGACACCTGCTGCTATATTACATGCACTGGTTCAGGAAGAAACTACTAAAAACCCTGCAGGGAGAAGCCTGTAAAAAGAAAAGGACTTTGTTTTAACTTTTCATCCCTAATTTGCTACACTGATCAAACCAAGTTAAGAGTCCCCCAAAGCCCACAGTCTGTCAGTCCGAATGCTATCCTGGTTGGTAACTGCAGGGTCAGTTGTGACGGGGAGACGGCAGCTTATACAAGGAAGCCACAGTAAACTGCTCTACATGCTCAAAATCACAGCAAGCCCCTGTCTGCTACACAGCATGATCTTAGCAGGTTTTAATTTTGTTTATTTGTATATATCTATGTGCGCATGTGTATATATATATATATATATATGTACGTATGTATAAAAACCGTGCCCTTGTTCACCGCCAACACGACATCTGGGTGGACATGAACTCATTACAACAAATCCTTATGTGTATGTTGTAAGAAGTCACTCAATGTCTGTGGATTTAATAAGTCACTTCACACCACAGAAAATATTTAATAAATCCAAAAAAAGGAAAGAAGAAAATAATGACAGAAGAGCTTCTGTCTCAGTTCTCTGAAACTGAGTCCCCCATAGGAAACTGGTCCCAAAGTTCTGGAGGGTTCACTGAAGAAACTTCGGTTTGCTAAATTTTTTTAATCCTTTTAGTGTTCAAAAAGTTCTAAAACGACTCCTTGCCGTTTGCAGTTTTTAAATAGTCAAATCTCCATCTCCCCGCACGTAACAGTCCGGTGCAGATCCCCAAAAATGGGAGGGAGGGCCTATCACTCTGAAAGGCTCCACCCTACCACTGCAGGAGGACCAGCAGGGCCAGCACCCTTCCCTGCCAACCGGCTTCCTCAGGTGCAGATTCCAGTCACATGCCTGTTCCTTAAACAGGTGACTTCTGAGTACCAGGCCAGCTCTAAGAAGAGGAAACAAAACCACGCGGTGAGAGAAAAGGACGACACCGGACATCCTGGTCACTTCCCGTGGGATCCATCATACTTCCAGGAACCGGGAGCTGCTGGACTTGGAGTGGAACGGCTCAGACCACATCCGCCGTAGGTCACCCTGGGAACGAAGGGACAAATTCAATCTGAGTTGGATTTAGGACTTGTGGCTTTGTGAGCCTCTGTCTTTCTGATTCTCAATCTCAGGTTAAACTGCTTCTGTGGGGGCCAAAGAGCAGTCAATAGCTGTGAGGGCAATCTGGCTATGACATCTGTCACCTTACTGATTGCCAGGGTTGATTTGGCTGATCTGTATGGCTAGGCGGGTGTCCCCTTCCTTCCTCACTGCTCCATGTGTGTCCCTCCTGAAGCTGCACATTCAGTCCTAGAGGACGACCCTCCTTGATAAAGGAGGACCGTTCTTCCATCAAGGGCATCCAAGTAGCTGCATTCCCCCCCCCCCCCGAACCTCCAAACAGGCTCTCAAAGAGCATTAAACCAAACATAACTTGATTTCAAGGAGAACCTGCTAGAAGAGATGATCTCAGGCTCCTTGAGCAAGAAAGATTTTTAAGAACTCTAGACTGATACAGGTTCTAGCCCTGATAGTAACAGCCTTAGGCAGGTTAAGGAACCTTGGCCTGTTTCCTAGCTATAAAAATGAGATGGTGATTCAAATTTGGAAAATGAGGTAATGTGCTCTCTGAATTTAGTTTTTACCATATACTGCTTCAATTCTATTAAATCCTTTTTAATTCTTCCCAAGCCTTGATGCAAGATGATTTTAAAAAGATGTTAGAGTACTAGGGGACTGTTCTTCTTTTCCTTCTGGTTCTGGGGATCAAACCCAGAGCCTCACTGGGCTACACTCCCAGCCCTAGGTACTGCTTTAAGAAGTAGGAAGTCCCTCTAGTTGGGCTCTTGGAATTTCAGTCAATTAATCCATGACCAGCTGGTATAATGGTCTAATTAATCCCATTTTCTACTAGTGGCTCTAAGAATCCAGAGAAGTTCACCAATGCCAGGCCAGCGCACATGACAGTCGAGATCAGGGGCTCAAGCAGAGCCGCCTCCAGTGAGGAGAGTATGTGCACAAACCCAAGGTCAGTGCCAAGTTACTGCTTTTGCAGGTTTACACCCACTTCTCTCACCTCATGCCCTGTCCCGGGGATCAAAACCCAGGCACGTGCTGGGCAGACCCTCTACACTGAGCTACAGTCTCAGCCCTCCTCTCACCTTTAAATAGGCCATGGTGAGGAGTGGCAATAAGGTAAATGGCACCAGGTAAAGGAGGGCGGGCTGGGCAGCTCGGTGGATGCGAGACGCCACAGTAGCAGTGAGCAGACCTGGAAGGAAAGACATTGGTGAGTGATCCTGAAAGAAGGGAGGCCCTGTCACCTGGGAAACAGGATGTGACATAGTCCAGTCCACAGAGAGGGTATGAAATGCCCAGCTCCAGCAGTTAAATGTGGAGCAACTCCAAGGACATGTGACTGGCCCAAGTCCCACTCCTCGCTCGGTGCCTGGTTCAACCCTCTCTTCCACCCTGACTGGGGCAGCTCTCCCTCTGCCTCCTGTGGTGTGTGACGCTGGACTTAAAGGCAGAGCCCTGGGTTCAGGTTCCAACTTTGCTATACTTACACGAGCCGTGTAACCCTGGGGGAGGAATTCCCCCTCTCTGAGCCTCCTATACTGCCTCACGGGGGTAATGCCACTTGCCTTGTCCCTGTCAGGGTTTCTGCCTGGAAGTGAACCCATGTGCACGCAGTGCTGCAGGTGAGCACAGTGCTGATGGGAGGCTTGGGAGAGGTGCTCTTCCCTATCCACTCTACTGTAACGGTCATGGGCATGGAACAGCCCAGTCAGTCGGTCTGTCTGTCTGTAGGGGAGCTGGCTGGAGAAACACTGAGCCTGGGGAGAGTCTGAGGTCACAGAAATATTGACCAAATCAAGGTAAATCTCTGCCATTCACTAACTTCTGTGGAAGATTTATGTTGAGCCCAGGGTGTGATCTTGTGTGCTGTGTCTGTGGCTCTCAGCTGTGCTGTTCAGTGGGGAGCTGGTCCCACAGCAGAGATGGTGTGCATCATCTCACAGGCTGGGCGGGTCCTTTTTAGTTATCTGAACAGATAACAGAGTTCCTGCTCTCTAGGTCAGCACTTGGAAGACCTGACGTGATCCCTAAGATTGGAGGCCAGCCAGCGAGAGGAGCAGCAGCTCCCAGCACTCTTACCTACAAAGTATCCAATGAGGGTGCAGTGGAAGTAGGAGACCTTCTGCATGCGCCCAGAGATGTTGGCGGGTCCAGAGGCACCACAGGAGTCACCGCTGGCTTGTTTTTTATAGTTGTCATAGCGAAGGACAAAGCACAACAGCAGACCGGGCATCACAATGTCTCCAATGCCCAACATAGAGAAGTGACTGCCCGTGGAGCTGAAATGTGGAGTCACATGTTAGGAATGCCACTCTCAATCCAATTTCTACTACTGTATAAAGTCTTTTTTTTTGTGGTTGTAGGTGGACAGAATGCCTTTATTTTGTTTATTTCTATGCAGTGCTGAGGATTGAACCCAGTGCCTCACGCATGCTTGACAAGTGCTCTGCCACTGAGCTCCAGCCCCAGTCTGTCAGCTTTTAAGTAGTCAAAGAACTCATCCAGAGGGCAGAGAGCAATCTCTACTGGTGGACACTAGTTTTACGGTTTAGAGATTAAAAGCCCCTTAGGAACTGGCAGCAGAGGTCTCCAATCCAGGCCCTCAGTGTTTCAGGACAGCAGCTTGTCAGTGACTGCTGAAGTGATGTGCCCAAGCACTACCTCCTCTGGAATGTCGGGCAAAGCATGATTTGAGATAGATGCTTATTTGCAGTGTCAATAGTGACTGACTACTCCCAGACACAGGAGATAAAAGCAGCACATTAATTTTGTCATGATTATATTTCCAGGAAATGTTCAATTTTACTATTGGAACATTTATATGAGTGTCTTAAAAGTAAAAATGATCCTGATTCTATTAATTTTAGCCAACTTTAGAAAATGGGAACAAGCTGGGCACAGTGGCACATGCCTGTAATTGCAGTGACTTGGGAGGCTGAGGCAGGAGGATCGCCAAGTTCAAAGCTAGCTTCAGAAACTGTCTCAAAAAGGACTGGGGATGTGGCTCAGTTGTTAAGGGTCCCTGGGTTCAATTCCCAGGACTAAAAAATAAATAAAACACAACACCCATATCACTCGGTGATGCATCTTGGAAAGTCAAGTCGGTATTCTCAACCTCACTTTTTCACTTAGAGACGATAGCCTCCTAGCCCTTTCCAGTTTAGGGTCAGAATGCTGAAGACAAGACATACAACCGAGGCAGGAAACGGGATGAGGCCCAACAGGCCAGTCCTACCTTGGGAAGACCAATTTTCCAGGCAGAGACAGGCGAGGAACATCACGCCCAACATTTGGCCCCAGGTGGAGCTTCCGGGATAGAACGTCAAGGGGGTTGTCGGCCGGCTGTGTGGCCACCTTCACCATGACGTTGCTATTGAAGATGTAGGCTGAGAAAAATACCTGCCAGGGTGGAGAGGTGCCTTTAGTGAAGGGGGCTGCAAGCAACTCGCTTTCAGCATCATCCTTTCTGTTCTTAGAGCAGAGCTCATCAATGCTTTCTTTGACTGCATGCTTTGAAGAAAATCTTTGCTCTTCAAGAGTGCCTCCAGGTTTCCCAATGTGTCTCGTGCCTGGAGACTCCCCAACAGTGGAACTGGGTGCTCCCACACAGGGAAGCTCATTTGCTGGCTGCCTCCTCCACCCTGAGCTACTGCACCACAGCTCTACAGGGAGAAGGCTCAACCAGCTGTCAGCACACTGTGACCTGCGCAGTGCAGGACTGCAGGGAATGGCCCGGGAGCAGGCTCTGGGTACTTGGAGTGGACGGCTTTCAGCAGTGAATGCTTCAACTGCACATGAAGAGAGCAGGGGCTTTCAGGAAACAGATGCTTACCCAAAAGACATCGTAGATGAGAAGCCCTGAGAGGAGCAGGCAGGAAACCTTGAGGCTAGGCAGCCGAACAAAGGCGATCATGGCGACACAGAGACCCATGGCCAGAGCTGGGGAGAAGAGAGAGCAGTCAGGTTTGTGACTTTTCCCACAAGCTCTTCGGCTTATCCACCCAACAGTCTGTGGTTCCTTCTGAAGTCTGGGGGCTCTGAACTATAATTTTAGGCACTTATACCCACACTGTTGTGAAGTGTCCACTTCTGCTGGGCCCCGAGAAGCATCCTGTCTCCCGCTAGACATGGTGCTGGACCATACAGCAGCAGGTCAGGCTCAGTTGCTTTCATTCCTGGCCATCCCCTGTTGCTGTGGCTGCACTGTCCTTGCTCTAGAGTCAACTGTGCCCTAGACCACATCCCCTTTCCTCCACTCAGGATGTCCTTCCAGCCAGTCACTCCTCTCTCTTTACAGGATTTTCTTTTATTAGAAATATTACACATTTGCATTGTATTTTAACACTCACATAAAGATCCCTCCTCAACAAAAAGGTCCTCTGAAGAGCTGTGGGTGTGAGCTGTCTCCAATTCCTTCTATTTTCCTTAATACTTACTACAAAAGCAGTAACTACATTATAGAAATATAGAAAACTAGAGAACACCGTTAAGGTTTCAAAACCTACATTGCCACTCTCCAGAGATAAACGGTGTAAAACATCTTCCCAGATTTTTTTTACACATGTATTTTTATACAGAAAATAAATTTTATTTCTCTGTAGGGAGACTGAAAAGTACAATGTGCTGTCATCTGTCAAGGACTATCTTGCTGTGTTGTAACATGGAGGGCATTAAACGGTGAGCAAGCCATGTGTATTTTTAAAATACAAGATCACAAAATCTTTTTTTTTTTTTGGTACTGTGGATTAAACCCAGGGTGCCCTGCCTATCACATAGCTACACCCCCAGACCTTTTTATTTTGAGAGAAGATGTAGTGGCCAAGGCCAGCTTCAAACTTTCGATCCTCCTGCTTCAGTCTCCTGAGTAGCTGGGACTACAGAGGTGCATCACTGCTCCTGGCTAAATTTTTTTTTTTTTTTTTATACTGGGGATTAGTCCAGGGGTGTTATATTCTCTAGCCTTCTATATATTTTTAGGGTCTTGCTAAGTTGCTGAGGCTGCCTTAAAACTTGCAATCCTCCTGTCTCAGCCTATCAAGTTACTGGAATTTCGAGCACCTGCCACCAAATCCAGCTAAAATCTGCTTTAAAGCCAACAATTGTGAGTTTCCATTTCAATGAATTTTCATCTCAATCAAATGTCTCTAATAGACTCCAGAGTGTCTCTCATATACAGTTTATCAAAGCCAGTATCCAGTCCAGGATTGTTTTGTCTTTTAAATCTTTTTCAATCAGCAGGGTTTTTTAAAAAATATTTTTTTAGTTGTAGTTGAACATGATGCCTTTATTATTTTTATGTGGTGCTGAGGATTGAACCCAGGGCCTTCCATGTGCTAGGCGAGTGCTCTACCGCTGAGCCACAACCACAACCCCTTTGTCCTACAGAATGTCTTACTTTTCTGGTTTTTCCCTTATTGTGGTGGTTGGTTTTTTTCCTCTCTTCCACTCGCTTTCTGAAAGTCAGACATTATTACCTGAAGACTGACTAGATCACATTCACGTCTTTCACCCGTTCCTCAAAGGCTTCATCTCTGCTACTTCAGAGTTTCTTGGGGCTGCCAAGGACCCTCCTGTTGTTAAGTGCAGCAAGGAACCCTTGTGCTCATCTCAGCTGATCTGTACACACCATCGATGGCTTCCAGCTCCCTTCTCACGTGGCTTTCAGGAAAGTGCACACTCCTGGTTCCTCTCCTGTATCTGCTGCTCCTTTTTAGGTTTTGCCGTAGCTCTTCCTCAGTTCCCTAGACCCTGAACCTGCCCTCTCAATTTTGCTCTTATCTCTGCTTCACTTCCTTGATGATCTCCTCCAATCTCAGTCTATCACACATTTTTATATCCAGTCTGTATCTCAACGTTCAACTTCTGATTCATACAGACTAGGGCTAAGTGAAATATTTCCTTGAATGTCCAACAGGCCTCTCACATTTAATCGATCGCAAGTTCTTCTCTAAATTGGTTCCCACCAGAGTAGAGTGTCTATATTTATTCTCTTAGTTGTGCAGACCAAAATCTGTGGCTCATTTTTGGAATACTCTCTTATAACACTTGGTACAAGCTACACTGTCTCTAGTCTGGACTGCTACAGTAACCACCTGGTCTCTCTGCCTCTACCTGGCCCTATATAGTCTCTTCACACAGCAGAGGTTCTTAAACTTGAGCATCAAGAGAAGCTCCTAGGGGACAAGGTTCACTGCACACATATATCTATAGTTTTTCAACAACCGCAGCACTGGCTTTTCCAGATATAATAAAGAAGCTCCATATTGTTTGAAAACTTCCCAAGACTCCCTGATAGCTGAAAGTTAAGTTTATTTGTAAAGCTAAGTGTAAATTAACCAAAAGTGTTAGGGAAGTAAATTATAAATCGTAGTTATTTAGGTAGTCATTTTAAATTAATTATTGACATCTCTGTATCACCTTGTCTTCCACAACGAGGAAGGTCAGGGGTAAAGACAATAATATGTTAAACTGAGCTACAAGTGTTCTCAACAAGGAATATACAACCTGTAGGGTCTTAAGCAGTGCCCCTGTTCTTAGAGGACCTTGAGATATCCATACCTATGCAGACTAAGCACCAGAGTCTAGCATTTTAAAATAAAATAAATAAAAATATCAACTTTTTGATTCCTAGCACTAAACATTTCTTGGTGATAGGGTAGTAGCAACTGCTTTAAAATGAGGGGCTGGATTAGATATGTATTAAGACTCTGTTAGTCCCTAAACTGATCAGGGATGCACACAGTGAACCTGGTTCAACGATCCTTGAAACACTAAGTTGTGTGTACTCGAGATTCATCAGCTACACGTCTGTAATCCCAGTAGCTCAAGAGGCTGAGGCAGGAGGATTTTGAGTTCAAAGCCAGTCTATGCAACTTAGTGAGGACCTAAGCAACTCAATGAGACCCTGTCTCTAAATAAAATATACAAAAAAGGTTGGGGACGTGGCTCAGTGGTTAAGTGCCCCTGGTTTCAAACCCCAGTACCAAAACAAACAAACAAAACATCAGCTTGGGCTGGGGGTGTAGTTCAGTGGTACAGCGCTTGCCTGGTGCATTCCAGGCCCTGGGTTTGATTCCTAGCACCTCAACAGACAACCTATCAGCTTTTAGCCAACAGACCACCATGGACTGGTCAAATAATTCCAAGCTTTCCCAAATTTAAAAGGTTAATTTGCCACATGAAACTAAGAGTAGATGAAACAGCTCTAGGTTTCAGTTTCAGAAAATACTCAAGTCCACTTTTAGTATGAAAACTTCCTATAGCACTGCAAAACATCTATCAGCCTGTTTCCACCACACATTAACTTCAAAGGATAGCTGTTAACTAAAAATGCTCATTTAAAAAAACCTCACTCCCAAATCTCACTTGTCCACAAGATGAACTGATTCTGCAGAGGAGCCTTGGAAATTTAATTTCCATGCTGAGAGCAACCTATTTCAGGATGTTACAGATCAGGGCAAGAAAGCTACACTCTTATAGTAGCAGAAAACAAGACAAACACGTATCAAATACTAATCTGAGAAAGAAAAACCTCAAAGGCTTTCTTAAAAATTCTATTCACAAAAGCAGCTTAGTGTAAACTGGTTAAAAAAAAAAGGTTCTTGTACAAATAGAGGGAAATTACAGCAACAATTGAAAATGCAGTGAAAAATCTACTGCGTAGGCCAATTAGGGCCTAAAAAATAAATTTATAATCCCTTTTATCAGGTTCTGTCCAAATTTGATCATGAACAGAACATCCTTGGTTTTGAATAAATTCTGATAGTTGATGCAAGTGTTTTAAACAAATCATAAATATAAAAACAAACACCTAACCCCCAATATTCTACTCAGCACACGTAAGGTCCGTCATGGAAAGCAGACAGATCCTATCAGCTTAACTTAGTCACTCCTGAACTTGAGGCCTGGACAGCAGGTATCACTTTGGGTGGTTCTGTGCTTAGAGACCCTGAATGACAACTCATGGTAACTGGCAGAGTACAGGCTTGGCAGCTGGATTAACCTCGCAATTGCTTGGAATGGTAACAGGAGTAGATGCCATCCATACCTGTAGTTTTCTGATTTTCAAATTCCTTCATTAAAAATTCTTTAAATAGTAAGTATAAAACTGATTATATTTAACCTGCTTCCCTTCTCAACCACCAAAGGAAAGGAAAAGGTGAGCAGATTTTATGAGACAGACAAGAGTCATTAGAAGTTTCTTGAGATTAGGAAAGTAAACTGAGAAAAATGACAGCAGGGTCTTAAAGTTTTCTAATGTTTCCAGATTGACTTGAAGAAGGATAAGAGATTTTTGGAAAGGTATTTTCAAGGTGGTTTGGTAGTTAAGTAAGAAATATACACAGAAGCTCTGTAACTTAGAGTCTAAGTCACTTGTCTGAACACAGTTACTTCATTTGCAAACTGGGAACCATAACAGTTCCAACTTCCAAGAGTTATATTAAGGATTACATGAGGTAATTCAGTGGAGCACCCAGTGCATAAAAAGCACTCGATGAATTTTAGTTGTTATTGTCATTATTTCATCATCATCATCATCAATGAAGGGGAATTCTCATATGCTGTGCACAGGAGCATAAACTGCTATGGCTTTTCAAAACCCATATGTTATAGGAACTCCACATCTAGGAATTCATCTTTAAAAAATTAGCTAGGTTGGGGGTGGGGATATAGTTCAGTGGCAGATCATGTATGAGGTCCTCAGTTTAATACCCAGTAGAGCAGGGGAAGCGGGGGAGAATCTAAGTGATCTGAAATATACCAAGAGGTAGAACAAGTATTTTTACCTCAGGATTATTTATAACAGAAAAAGATTAAAAAACAATCTAAAGATACAGCAATAATAAAATAATTCACACATTATTCATTAATAGCACAAAACAGGGGAAATAACTGATGAATGAATTAAAAAACTTTGGTAATGGAATAGTATTCAGTCATAAAAAAAGAGCACCCATACAGGTTATGACATGTTTACAACTTAGAAAACATACTGCTAAGTGGAAGAAGTCAGACAAAAAAGGCCATGTAAGTGTCCAAAATAGAGAAATCCAGATAGAACATAAGATGCCTGGGGCTACAGTGGGGTGGAGTCTGACAGCTCAGTACAGGTTTTAGGGTGTGAGGAATAAAAATGCTCCACAACTGACTGCAATGATGGTTCTGCAACTGCACAAACTTAAGTTATCCACAAAATCATGTTAAGTAAAATCAGTCTGTTTACATTTCGTTACTTACCATCCATGAGAAGCCAGTGGCCAGTGAGAACCCAGATGAGGACAAGCATGACAGACAAAGAGAAGGACAGTAACTCAGCAGCAGTGAAACGCCCGCAGCAACCAAAGGAAATCCTGGAAAACACACAGCATTTTACTAGAGGGGGCAGGCGCACTGCATTCAGCACCCTGGCGCTTCATGATCAGAAGTCGGGATGGCTGGATGAGAATAGTAGGCAACACCTCGATACCTGGAAATCTAAAAGACCCAAGGGTGAACTATGAAAACTCCAGAGGAACTGTACTTTTCCAATTTGATAATATTATTATTATTTGGTACTGGGATTGACTGAACTCAATCACTGAGCCACATCCCCAGTCCTATTTTGTATTTAGAGGCAGGGTCTCACTGACTTGCTTAGTGCCTCGCCACTGCTGAGGCTGGTTTTGAACCTGTGATCCTCCTGACTCAGCCTCCTGAGCTGCTGGGATGACAGGCGTGTGCACCACTGTGCCCGGCAATAATGTACTTTTGAGACCAAATTATCAACATGGGAGTTTAAGAGTTGTGACAAGCTAGGCATAGTGGCACATGCCTGTAATTTCAATGACTCAATGACTTGAGAGGCTGAGGCAGAAAGATCTTGAGTTCAAGGCCAACCTCAGCAACTCAAAATATAAATGAATACTGACTGGGGATGGAGTCAGTGGTAGAGCACATCTGGGTTTAATCTTCAGTACTATAATAAACAAGAACTCTGGAGAAGCTAAGAGGGAAAATTCTGTTCTTAAGTGGAAAACAAACTGAAGAATGCCAACAGTTCAATTCATTTAATAAAGGCAAATAAATATCTGTATGATGATACATATATTTGGTTATCACTAAAAATAAATAGATCACTAAAATAAATATATTTCGTTATCATCTGGTTATCCTGGGAAAATCAGCTGCTCCCAGTGAACATTTCCACATGCATACATAATACACCACATCCCCATTAGCATAAACTTAGTTCCCACAAGCAATGATTTTAGGAGCTGAGGTGTGAATGCTATCATTATGCCAAAGGGCACCCCAAAAGAAAGGCAAAGAATATCTGAATTGAACCACTATGCTCACACCCGTTAGGTCACCAGTAAAGGAATGGAAATGTTCACCAAAAGAAAACTGCTCCTCTTTCAAAATCTAAGCAGGGGCATAATTGCAAGGATTCCTAATTTCTAAGATTTGTTTTTATTTTCTCTGCCATGAAAAGGTACAAAAGGAAGTACTATATTCTAGTTTTAAAAGATCAAACATCTGGCTTCTCAATCTCTTGGTATTATTGTGCTTTGGTCAACACTAGAAATTTAAAACTCTTAATAGTGCTACCAAGCATGAAAGAAAAACACAAATTTATAACTAAGAGCAAAGTTCCAAATCCTTACTTGTTTTGAGGTGAACAGGGTCTTGTTAAATACTGGCACATCGGGAGAAGAAGAAAAGCAAAAGCTATCGTTGCAAGAACTAGAGAAAGAAAGGGTATGGTTAATTTTTTTTTTAAAGAAATCTATTATTTAAAAAATGGCATTTTTAGAAACAGTCATTTTCCAAAACAAGTGGAAATGATTTAATTGACCAGAGAATAATCTTTCTTTACTATTGAACAAATAACTTCCTTAAAACAAAAATACCTGGTTTGAATTAGGGATAATATGACAAGATTTTCTCATTCTCTCCTAACTCAGTAAGAAAAGATAAATAATGGTTTGGGGGATGACCTCCTAATAATTTTGGTTTTTTAAATTTTTTTAATTTTGGGTTTTTTTTTTTTTTTTTTGGTATTTCCATTATCTCTTAGCTTGAAAACAGATCAGAGAGTTGACCCTTTAATTACTTTAATTAGCTAGCAATGTTTTTATCTACAGAAGCATTTGTAGAGGCTGCCAATGACCGCTACACCAAACGGGACCTTCTGGTAACCAAACCAATACTGTTCTGGTGTCATAAAGCTCATGAATATTCAAATCCCTAGCATTTTTTTCAGACTGTGTTGACAGGTCTGAGTATCAGGTGGTTCATGAAGGAGGTCTAAAGGGTGTAAAAAACTGAAATATAATGAAGAAAAACTTGCATAATTTTTGAACAATTATCTTAAAAAAGGTGAATTTTTTTTTCCTTTCAGTGTGCTAAGAACAGAGAAACTCATTTACCTGCTGTACATATTGTAAAAACTACTTGAACTGAGTCAAAGAAGAAGAACATTACTAGGAGAGAGACGGATGCTCCAATTGGAAGAAACAGAGCCTGGGTAGAGTCAATTGTTTGGATACCTGAAAGACAGAAAAGAGGACACGTTAACCACTTACTATACTAGGCTCTTGCATTTTATGTGTAACACGCACTATGCCCTTGCATTATATACATTAACTCATTAAAGTATGGTTCTTGGGATAACTACCTCATTATGGACTACCGAGGCCCCAGTGAGATTAGGAGCTCTCTGCTCTCCTCGGCACCTTCCCTGTACGGATGCCCAGGAAACACTTGTTGAATTACACAGCATTACCTTCTGGTGCCGACCATGTGAATAACAGGATGCAAAAACAAAACCAAACAAAAATCCCAGAATCAAGAACATTAACAGGCAGTGCTGGGAACAGTGGTATATATGTGTGATCCCTGTTACTGAGACTGAGGTAGGTGGATTACAAATAAGAAAAGACTCTGTCTCAAAATGAAAATACATGGGGATAGAGCTCAGGTGAAGTTCCTGGTTCAATCCCCAAGGGGAGAAGGAGGTACCATTAAGAGGTAGTAAAAATCCAGTTTAGTCCATTTGAGTGTATTTGTGGTCCTGCATACAGGTTTGGTTAAAAGAGGTGATTTTAACCCAGTGACTAAAGTAATCTGTGGATTTAATATACTTATATTTACTCTGGTGGGGAGGATGATGAACAAGACTTAGCTGTAAACAGTGAATCAGAAAAATTATTTTCTGAGAACACTTTAAGGTACTAGAATGGGGATTAATGGGGGACAATGTCTTGGGATAGAACAGGATTTAGCACAGTGGTTCTCAAATTTTGGCTGTCCCTGAAATAACTTGGAGAGGTGTTTTTTTTTATTTAAATCAAAATGCCCAGGTTCAACCTCAGACCAATTAAACTGAAACCTCTGGGGATTACACCCAGCTGAAAACACTCCCCAGAAAACTTTAATTTTATCCAGGCTTAAGAACCACTAATAAAGTACTTGGTAGAGAAGGAAAACATGGGAAAATATGATAATCACTGAACGAAGAGGAAAAACTATGGGTTTTGTCTTATATGCTGCCTACTTCCAAATGAACTGTCCTGAGATGTCATCAAGAAAAGTGTATGATAGGGACCTAAGAAATAGTCATATGACTATTACAATAGAAATATTAGAAATAGCAGTTTCTCTTCAATAAATTAAGGCTACAAATAAAATATGCAACAGGGATGAACATAACTAGGTATGAAAGGTTGCAATGATGAACCGTTTAAAAACTATTCTGGGACTGGGGTTATGGCTCAGCAGTAAACTTGCCTAGCAAGTGAGGCCCTAGGTTCAATCCTCAGCACCACATAAAAATATATTAATTAAAGATATTGTATCCAACTACAACTAAAAATAAATATTAAAAACAAACAAACAAACTATTCTGAAGCATTTAAACTTGTCTGTTCCCCAAAAGCTATCTAGGGATTTTTGTGAAATAAAATATTAAATATTTCTTCAAAACAAAATTGCTTCTTGGCAGTTAGGTAAATGAGTCAAACAATTCATTTAGGGATGAGGCAGTTCAATTTAGGAAAAGTGATCTAGGTGTCATGACAAACAGAACTGATCTGGGAAATGGTTTGTCCTGAGCACAAGTTTGACTTGTGTGCCACACTTGGGCTGGGATGGGGGTGCTCTTAATAGTAGTTCAAAGAGGAACTAGAGAAAACTACAGATTTTCAGATGCCTTTCACAACAGAAAATAATGTTCCACAAAAGATCATTTACTACAAGAAACAAACTGTTTTATAAGAATCCATACATTTTAAAACACATACCCATATCTGCCTCTCTTTTGTAAAACAAAGCATCTTATAATCTACAGATAAACTATATTAGTTCAAAATATGAACAGAAAAATTAATTTCCTGGTAGAATATAAAGATTATAGTGACTAGGGTATATAAGGTATGCTTAAATCTAAATTTTAGTCTATAATCAATATGTAAAACTAAATACAAAGATCCTTTCTAGAATGTTAAAAAAATGCAGATTTTCATTTCTGAAAACAGATTTAAACCAGGAGGCAATGTTACAAAGCAAATAAAGCTCCTTTAATTGCTGACAATATGCCACTTAAAATAATATACATGACTTCAATACTGAACTTCATAAAGGACAGGAGACAATGGTACCGAAAGGGAAGGAGTGAATTAATCAAAAATTCTAGCCACACTCCATTGACTTAAAAACAAACAAAACTGAGCAAAGTTAAACAGAGCAGCCATCACTGGGAAGACTTCCAAAGTCCAACTATGTTATTTTTAAAGTCCAAAATCAACTTAAGTGGGTGTGGTGATGGAATTAAAAATTATATATGGCGGGCTGGGGTTGTGGCTCAGTGGTAGAGCACTTGCCTAGCATGTGTGAGGCTCTGGGTTTGATTCTCAGCACCACATATAAATAAATAAAATAAAAGTCCACTGACAACTAAAAAAGTATTTTAAAAAAATTATATGTGGCAACATTATTTTTAGTATCCAATGGACTAAATTACTAATTTTATACCTTTTACCAAACACTTCTTATACATTAAGCAACAGGAGGGATAAAAAAAAAAACTTTCTAGATCTTATGGAATTTACAGTCTAAGTGGAAAAATTAAATAGATGTATGCCTACTCATGAAGAGAATTTCAATTGTACATTTCCATCAATCTTCATAGTTCAAATGTAAGTGAAGTAAAGGACTTTAAGATGTCACATAAATGTGGGGTACGTGGCCTTTTCTTAAATGAAGGAATGACATGCCGGGGGAAAACTATACAGGCCTCTTGGGGCAGATGCAGGAGTTAGAACAAGTCAGTGGAAATCAGGAAGGACCTGGAGGGAAGTCCCTCCCTGCTGCAACTTTCTTTTTTTATTTTAACACTCACAGATAAGTAAAAAAAAAAAACCAGGGACCTGAATGGATCATCACATACCTAATACCAACCCTGGGCGCCTTGTTGTATCCCTCCTGTCACCACCCTCTCTCTTTCCCCCAAAGGGAACTGCTGTACTGACTTTTGATAATCTCTTCTTGCTTTGTTTTCCACCCAAGCAGGAACACTTAAATATACTCATGTTTATTTTGCCTGTTTTTTAAGCTTCATATATACTAGATTTGTAGTATGTATTTTTGTGTCTGGCTTATTTCATGCAACATTATTTCTGACAATCATCCATGCTGTTGTATCAGCTCAATTTCATTGTATGAATGTTAAAATTTATCCATAAATGTTTAACATTTGAGTTGTTTCTAATTTTTTGGCCTACTATAAACTATGCTGCTTTTGAGTGTTCTGGTTATGGTTTTGGTGCACATGTGCTTATATTTGCAGGTATATAATTAAAAATGGGGCTGGGGCTGTAGCTCAGTGGTAGAGTGCTTGCCTAGCAGCATGTGTGAGGCACTGGGTTTGATCCTTAGCACCACATAAAAATAAACAAATAAAATCAAGGAATTCTGTCCATCTGTAACTACAAAAACAAACAAACAAAAAATTTAGGAGCAACACTGCTATGTCCAAGTGTATTTATTTATTTTTTAATTTTTAAAGGGAGGACAAAGGGCTTTTGGTGCTAGGGATTGAATCCAGGGCCTCATGCATGCTAGACAAGTGCTCTTCCATTGAGCTAAATCCCCAAGCACCCCTGGATGCTTATATTTTTTCCTTTAGTAGATAATGCCAAAATGTTTTTTCAAAGAGATTGAGCCAATGTATATTCTCATTAGTAGTTCAAGAGGGTTCTCATTCTATATCCTAACATTTGGTGAGATCAGGGTTTAATTTTAGATATTCTGGTTTGTGTGTAGCACTATTTCATTATGGGTGTAATTTCGGGTTTTTTAAGGAGCTGAGTGGTGCCTTGTTCTCCTCTCTCCCTGACTTCCCTGTTGAGCTGCCTAGACAGGTGGCGTATTACTATAACATGAAGTAGTAATTCCCCAGTCTGGTCCTGCACTCTAGGGAACTCTGCAGGGATCAATATGAAGTAATATGACCTCCATTTTGTTAGTTCTGATATGAATCACAAGGTCCATCTAATCCATCAAGTCATCATTAACACTTCTTCTTCTAGCTTGTTTTATAATCAAGGCCAATTGAATCATTTCTGATATAACCATAGCATGTGACCTACACATAAACCTTCAACCTCGACTCTCCACCAATGATGCCGTCCTACACTTCTACTTTTCCCTACTCTCAAGCTTTTTTCACTCTTGAGTGGGCAACTGCAATGTTTTAAAGAAAACTCTCTATGTGGTCATTTTGTCCTCCAACAAGTCTGAAATACTCTCAGGAAAAAAAAAAATTGCTGAGGCTGGCCTTGAACTTGCAATCACTGCTGCCTCAGCCTCTGGAGTTGCTGAGATTACAGGCATGTGCCACCATGCTCAACTCTTAGAAAAATCTTAACACTAACACACTTTCCTTTTTTTAGAAACTTCCCACCAATTCTTCTGTGTGGTCAATCATTTTGGATTCCAATTTCCTTAGCAATCTCTTGTGTTTCTCTATTCATTTTCTGGTTGATATCTTATTTCTTTGATTCTTGATAAATATGACCAGTTTTCCATGCTATCCCTTCAATCTGGAATGTTATATTCCATAATCAAGTATTGACATTCTTTGCAAGGGCTAATTCTTTCATAATGTTACTGATTATGCGGAAGTAGATGGCATTTTTATCCTAATCTGTCCTTATCCCTTATGAAGGTATAAGTGGCTTGGAGTAGGTACTGAGGAAATCTGTGTCATCAGGGATAATTTAGTATAATACAGAAGGAAGATCTAAGAAAATGACTATTTAAGAAAGAAGTGTCCTATTCTATTTAGACTCTGATTAATAAAGAAAAAGAAAAAAAAGCAAAAAAAAAAAAAAAAAAAAAAAGGCAATGATACCCAGGTAACTTCTTTCCAATGCACGCTGAAAATAAAATTGTACTTAGATATATACCACTTATCTCTCAGGTTTCTATGATGCAATGTACAACAGATCTATACTCTGGCTTAACTACATATCTGCATATACGCTATATAACATAGGTCTTTTAAGAATAGTTTCATGAGCATAAAGTGATTTGGCCTGAAATGTTGACAGAAGATATGCTACTAGGTAGTAATTTAATTAGATTCCACAATGGGTTTAACCTTGTTCCAAGTTAAGTTATTGTTATATAATGATTTGGGTCAAAAGAAAAGACTCGCTATATTTAAATAATTCTACTGACTGTCTTTATCACACCCACTCTATACTGCTTGGGACAATGAAACACGTTCAACCGAGTTAAAACTAAACAAGTATAATTTGTTGACAGGGTAATACAGTAACTAAAGAAACTCGTGGATATTAAGTGATCTTTTTCAACTTAACATCCATGGTCTTCCATTTATATTCTATCTGAATTTTAGTAGACTTACAGTGTTTCTTCCCCATTAGGTGGTGACTTTAACCTGTCATGCTCACTTTCTTCTCTGTGCCTGTAATTATATGCTCCTGTCTCCAGCAAGCCAAGTTCATTGTTTCAAATCAAGCTCATCCTTCTCCTGGAAAGAGACCTCACCTGAGCCAGTGTTGCTCTCCTGACTTGGCCCTTTACTCTTCGTACATGGATGTTGAAATGATTTCACCTCTAGAGCTTACTCTGACCCAGTAAGTGGCTTGTTCAGAAGAATTCTGAGGATCAATGAAAAAGAAAACCACAAAACACCTGTCCCGGGTATGGAAGGTGAAGTGGTATTTGCCCTCTTAGCACTTTAAAAAACATTTTGAAAAGAGCTGCTCTTATACTTTTGCATCTTTCAAAATATTTAATAGAATATTGAGTACTCAATACAAACCTGTCATTATCAAATCAGGTGCTCTCCCTGTTTCCTTCCCTTGGGATCAAACCCAGGACCTCACACATGGTGGGCAAGTCGTCTATCCAAGGAGCTCCACCCCCAACCCCAAGTCTCCTTATTTCTAATTTAATTCTTTCCATAATAAACATCATACCTTTCTATATCTATTGAGGTATAATTCATTTTATTTATTGAAAAAATTTTTTTTAGTTGTTGATAGACCTTTATTTATTTATACATGGTGCTGAGAACTGAACCCAGTGCCTCATCCATGTAAGGCAAGTGCACTCTGAACCATAGCCTTAGCTCAAGGTATAATTTATATACCATAAAATTCACCCGATTTAAGTGTATAATTTGATTTTTGAGGGGTGGGGTAAACTTTTCAACAGCGAACCCATCACCACAATCTAGTTTTTGAATATTTTCATCACCCCAATAAGACCCCTCAGTTTACAGTTACTTCTCCTTCCTATCTCTAGTCCCAGGCAAATCACTGGGACTAGAGATTTTGAAGTTCATCTCCACTGTAGCAAGTATTAGCACCTCACTCTTTTCTAAAAAAAAATGCTACATAACATTACACTGTATGGATAGATCATATTTTGTTCATAAATTCATTGGTTTATGGACCTTTGGGTTGTTGTATTTTGGGGTTACTAATAACACTAATTGGGCTGGAGTAGTGGCTCAGTGGTAAAGAGCTTGCCTGGCATGTGTGAGGCACTGGGTTCAATTCTCAGCACCACATATTAATAAATAAAATAAAGATCCATTGAGAGACAGACAAACACACAAATAAATAAATAAATAAATAAATAAATAAATATATGCTGCTTATCATTTGTCATACAGCCCACTTTTTTTTAAATGCAAATATTCTCTTAAGATCTTAAATATCAGGAGAGATACACAAAATCATACTTATTTTCTTTTTGTAACTTTGTAAGTTACAAAAGAGTTAAATGATAAAGCCTTCAAAAATAACATACTTATTGTCTTATTTATCTTAATCATTGTGTATTTGTTTGCCTTAAACTGTGGATATTATAAAATATCGATTAATTTGTAAAATAAGCATTTGGTGACTTTTTTCAGCTCATTACGTACTTCAAGCAAACATCTTTGTTTTTTTTTTTAGGTATACATGACAGTGCAATGTATTTTAAAGGCAGACATGTTTTAAGAGTAACTGAATGAACTTATGATTAACACAAAATTGTCAATCTCATCAAAGGATCTAAATGTAGTCATATGCTGCGTGTAGTGGTGCATCCTTGTAATCCCACTGACTGGAGAGGCTGAGGCAGGAGGCCAGCCTGGGCAACTTAGTGAGACCCTCAGCAATTTAGCAACACCATTTCTCAAAATAAAAATGGGATGTAGTTCAGTGGTAAAGCGGTCCTGGATCTATCCCTAGTACCCCCCACCCATGCCTGGCCAAAAAAATCTACCCTGCACTAATCTCTCCTGCTTATTTTTAACAAAGACTCTCAGCAACAAGCTTTAAGGAAGGAGTTTCTTGTATGCAAGAAATCAGTAGTTCAGACTGAGAACATAAAAATTTAACAGATTATAGCACAGAGTTTAGATTTTATTATAGTACCAAATCCTGACCAGTGAATGATTAACTGAGGGTTTAGAAAGAATCAAGGTAATTACATGGATGAAAATTAACTGATATAAAATGTCTTACTATTATTGGTGCTGTTGCCATTGAAAGACCCAGAAGAACTGTTATTGTCTTTCTCCTTATCTTGATTTTCAAAGTCCATATTAAGGGACCTGTGGAAAAAATTTTTATAGGTAAGTTTTAGTTTTGATTTACAAAGTAGCAGGTCAGAAAATCAGCAGAGACAATATTTTAAAATGCTTAGGCATCAGAAAAGAAAAGAAAGATCTCTTCTTTTAAATGTGGCAACTAGTTCTTGTTGCCACACTTAAAAAAATAACCTTCATTCCTTCCAATGTCAGCTCAAGAGTTTTCCTGACTGCACACAAAAGCATTCCCAAGTGGGTGAATCTCCTAGCAATGTTTTTGTTCACATCCTTAATTATTTCCTTATGATAAAAACCTGGAAAGAGAATGTTAGGTCAAAGGGCAAGCACATTTTGAGACTTTTAACATATCACACAAATGCTTCCAGAAAGGGTGCACCCAACGGACACTCCACAGCAGCATATGAGAACACTTCTTTTTCTGTCTCTACCTTGTCAGTGTGGATTCAACAACAAAGACTGAATTTCTTCTATTATCTGAAACTGTTCTAGTACTTATACATAGGATAGCACTATTAAATTTTTAACAAAACAATTTGTACATTCAAAGGAGGAAAAAGATGACATGTAAGAAAAATAAATTACATCTATGAGAAATTAATAGCATGTGTTAAGGAGAAAAAAGGAAACAAAGAATTTGAAATAAAGTCAGATAATAACCCGGTATGGCCAAGGATATACAACTGGGACCTTCATACACTGCTTGTGGTAACATAAATTAATGTAGTCACTTTGGAAGACAGATCTGATTTCTAGCCACCAAAACTCTGAGAAAGTAAATTTCTGCTGTTTAAGCTATCCGTTCTATGGTATTTTGTTATGGCAGCCTAAGCTAATAGAGATTAGAGATCATACTTCATATATGGAGACTTGTTTTATGCTCCCAAATGTGTTCTATATTAGTAAATATTCCATGAACACTTAAGAATAATGAGTTCTGTTGGAGTGTTTTATAAATGTCATTTAGGTCACACTGATTAAGAATATTGTTGGAGAAGCTGGGGTTGTGGCTCAGTGGTAGAGTGCTCACTTAGCATGCACGAGGCACTGGGTTCGATCCTCAGCACCACATAAATGTAAAATAAAGATATACTGTGTCCACCTAAAACTTAAAAAAAGCTTTGTCTGATATTAATATAACCACTCCAGCTTTCTATTGATAAGTACAAGCAATATATTTTCTCCTAACCTTTTGTTTCGGCTTTATATTTGTAGTATGCTTCTTATAAGCAGCATGTAATTGGGTTTTTTGTTTTTATTCAATCTCAACAACTGCTGTCTTTTCATTTGGTTGTTTAAACCAATTTCATTTAATGTGATTACTGATATGATTAGGTTTTAAGACTATGATCTATTATTTGTTTTCTACCTGTCCTTTTTTTTTTGTTTCCCTTTACCAGTTTTTAGGATTAATACAATATTTTTAAAATTTCATTTGACTTTCCTTGTTATTATATTAGTTCTGTGTCTCTGCTTCTTATTTTAGGGGCTAATGAGAAGTTTATGGCATCCACCTTTAACATGGTCTTTGAGTTATACGACTTCATGTATAACAAACCTTACAATAGTTCACATTTTCCCCATGCAAACTTTCTACAATTTTGCAAAGCATTTTTTATTACTTTTACATATTATGAACCTTAAATTGTTTTTGTTTATATAATCAATTTTCGTTTAAATAAGAAAAAGTCATATTTATTAATGTGCTTGTTTCTAGTGATCTATGTTCCTTTGTGTAGATAACTGATTTCCAACCAACACCACTTTAATTTTGCTGGAAGGACTTCCGTTAATATTTCTTATAGTGCAAACTCTGGCTGGTGATGAATTCATCCAGATTGTGTATGTCTGCAAACATCTTTATTTTATCTTTCATCTTCTGAAAGACATTTTTGCCACAGAATCCTATAGTAATATACATTTTGAAGCTGTTGTTCCACTGTCTTTTCACTTATTTACCTATTTTTGGTGGGGGGAAGTGTAGGGAAGACAGGGGATTGAACCCAGAGGCGCTGAACCACTGAGCCACATATTCAGTCAGCCCTTCTTATGTAAATTAGAATTTAATTTTTTAAAAAATTCAAGACATGGTCTCACTAAGTTGCTTAGGACCTTGCTAAGGCTGGCCTCAAACACGTGATCTTCCTGGCCCAGTCTCCTGAGGCACTGGGATTTGTGAACCACCATGCCTGGCTCACTTGTATTGTTTGTTTTTAATGATAGATCTGATGTCATCCTTATCTATTTACCCTCCAGTCACCGCTGCTTTCAGATTTTTCTCTTTTTTCAAATATTTTTTAGTTGTAGATGAACACAGTACCTTTATTTTATTTATTTTTATATAGTGCCATGCCAGTTAAGCGCTCTATCACTGAGCCACAACTCCAGCCCCAGGATTTTTCTTTTATCACTGGTTTTGAGCTACTGATAATCATATACCTTGGTGTAATTTTCTTCAGGTTTCTTGTGCCTGGGGTTTATTGAGTTTTTTGGATATGTGGGTTAGTTTTCAATAAATTTAGAAAAAGTTGGCCATTATTTCTTTGAATATTTTCCTGTCTCTCCCTTTTCTCTCCACTTTCAGGAATTATAATAACCCATGTATTAGGCCACTGATAATTTCTCTTTTCTGTTTCATTCTCTTTATTTCTTTTTGGATAGTTTCTATTGCTAGGTTTTCAAATTCACCAATCTTTTTTCTGTAATGTCTAATTGCAAAAAAAATTTTTAAATTAGTTATTAATTATTAATTCCATCCAGTGTATTTAAAAAAACTCAGATATTTTCATCTTCATTTCTATATATTTCATTTAGATCTTTTAAACTATCATCCATATAACTAACTTCTACTGTACATGTGGAATATAGTTATATGATTTTAAAAAATATTTATTTTTTAGTTGTAGTTGGATACAACACCATTTATCTATCTATCTATCTATCTATCTATCTGTCTATTCTCATTATGGATCACATCTTCCTTCCTCTTTGCTTGTCTGACAATGTCTGGTTATACACCAGACATTGTGCATTTTACCTTGCCTCAATATTTTTATGTTTATATTGGCTGCTTAATATTTTAATACTCCTGTAAATTCTGAGCTATAATCTGGGATGCTGTTGTTAGGAAATAGCTTTATTTGTTCAGGTTTCGCTTTTATGATTTAAGTGATTCCAAAGAAGTGCTTAGTAAAGGGTAATTAATCTCTATCAATGAGGCAAGGTCTGAATCAAATCAATGCCATGTAAATCATAAGTTTTTCGAATGTAGCTAATGGGAATAGGCATTCTTCCCTCTCATCTTCTCAAATTATTTTTCTTTCACTATAGGTAATCTGCTCACATGCACACACTGATCAATACTATAAGTGCTCAAAGGATATGTCGGCAGACCTCTGGGATTTTCTTTCTTTCTTTTGTACTCTGCACTTTTATTAGCTCTAGTTGCTTTGGTCATTCTCGACTCTCAACTCCTTGACTTACAGAATCTGCCTGCCTCCATGATCTAGAAACTGTCTTGAGATAGCAAACCGGGAAATTATTGTTTCAAGTATTATATATGGTAATTTTTTGTGAGGGGAGGTTGTTGCAGGTGGCATGATAATCCAGTTCCTGATACTACATCTTGGCTGGAAGCAGACGTGCCATTAGGTAGTTAATCTTTTAAACATGATACAAATTGAGCTGACTTTGAGTGAAGGAGAGGCCTCTTTTCACTTCTTGTTCATGCCTTTAACAGTCTCCGGGGTACTGGAACACTGATGAGTTGTATCCTTCTCTTCAGAAAAGTAAAGAATGTTATCCTGAAGAGGTCACAGTCTGTCCTGGGACTTTTAGCCAAACTACTGGGCTAAGGCTACACTGATAATGTGCTCGACTCTACAGTGTGCCACCCCTCTCACCCCAAATCTTTTGATGAATTCAAGAGATCTGTCCCATTACTCTCATAGCCTGACTTCACCTGCCACTTGGTTTCATGTACACGGTAAAACTCTTTTATTTGTTATAGGTATTGAAGAAGCCCCCGTTGACATGCCTGTAATTAGAGGGTAACCTGAGCCAGGCATGGTGGTACCCCCAGGTACTTGGGAGGCCGAGACAGGAGAATCATGAGTTTCAGCTTGAGGTCAGCCTGGGCAACTTGGGAAGAACTTGTCTCAAAAAGTGTATAGAATACAGATTGGTTAGGTATGCTTCACACTGATCCCTCAATAAATCTGACTAATCAGTTATTTGGCCAATTGACCCACTAGAGGGCAGTCCCCATGGATGACAATTCCTCAAAAGGACTGAAGGAGAAATTTTGGTAGATGTGGTCAACTTCCTAAACCATGGCAGAAATATGGGTAAGACAACTCTACTAGAATATGGTCCGGACTCTGGTGTGTTAGCTTCCCTGGGGTTTTAAAACGACGAGGATAAAAAACAGTTTTGGATTATTTCTCTACCCATCAGAGGAAGACACTTTGGCAGGGAATAAAAACATACTAATTGCTTCTACCTCATTCAGTCCTAGAGCAATTGTTATAGTGACTGGCAATGGAGAAAAAAAATTTTCTCTTGTCAATTTTGATTAGTTCCAGATACAGATTTTGTATATATTTCCCCTGCCAAGACACCTGTGGGGTTTCAGTGCGTGTTTTCATTTCTATGGCCTTTTAAACTTTACTTCATGTGTTCTCATGGCAGAGCTCAACATCTGTGGAAACTAAAGGCTAGGACTGGTGATTCATTTAATTAGAACACGTCTGAAGTCAATGGACATGAAGATTGCTTCTTCCCTTTGGAAAGATAAGTATTAATTTATATTGAGTTTTCCAAATTCACTTATGAATGGAAATAATAACAACAACAACAATAACAACTATACTTGTTATGCCTACTTTGCTTCTCAGAATCTGGTGACAGCTTGGTAAATTTAAAAGATTCTTTATGCACAGCTCTACTCTGGGGGCGACCTACTACAGATCATTAACTTCCCCTATTCTAGAATTTTTTTTTTAATA